GGCATAAAATGTTTGTATTCTCCTTCCACGAGACTATAAAGATCTCGATGGGAAGAAGGGGGTTTATAGGCCCGAGGATCGGAGTTTACTACATACTACAAACTACATAGATCCCATGGCCAGACACTTTGCAATGCCAGACTTTGTCTACGGCCATGCCCGACTGCCACTTGCATTCCGACTGGTTCGTGCTCGAATCGTAAAATTCTAAGCAAAAAGCATAAAATTCGTCCATAGAGATACATATTTGCATGTGGGCTATGTGAGTATTTTCGAATTTTACAACCCGGAGGCAAATTTGTGGCTGCGGCGGCGATGGTGGTGGTGTTAATTAGTACAACAAATGCCGGCGTGGCGCAGTAAAAACGCTCAGTGAATTGCACTGCACACTAACCTCACACAACGAAAAGCCGAGTGCGCGTTGTAAGTGCAGCATAATTAATAGCACCACAATTACAATCTAGACAGGCCAGACGCTCATCTATACCCATGATTGGCCGATGATTTGCGAGCGTTTTTTTATGACGAGGCCATGTTTTAGGACCTCGTATCTCAGGAAGTTTGTTGGCAATATCGGAAATATTTGGTATGCCCTGAGATAAATCACTAACGAATGTAACGACCTGCTGTATAAAACGAGGTAAGACAATATTTGTCGGCAATATTTTTTTTAGAGCCTGACATAAATCATTCCAGTTGAGGCTGGAAACTATACACATTTTGAGACCAAATATAAAAATGTCTCAAGAAGTAAGATTGAAAACAAGATATTTGTAAACAAGGAATGTATTAAAATATTATGTGAACGCAATTAAATATTAGAAATTATTATTGCGCAGTTAGGCAGCAAGTTATTCAAGAATAAATTCTCGCGGCTTTAATTTTACGATAGCGGACATTTCTACGCTGCCCCGATCCATTAAGATGTTATATAAATGCCATTAAATCGAGAAATATATTAGGTAATAAATTGAACGATCCAATCGAATAACCGTTTTACGCGTTAGAATGCTAAGTAATGGGTATATTATGGCCAGAAGGGTTTATAAAGCTGTAAGTTCGAGCCCCTTTGTTTAGAGAACAAACTATGGTGACGAAAAGCGAGGGCGCGGCTGCTTCCGTGTCGCCTCCGTCGCTATCAGCAGGGTAAAAAAAAATCAAGTAAAAAACACTACAAAAAAAAGGGGGCGTGTGCTGGCCGGCAAGGCAAATTAGTACTACGCAGTATGTGTTGCCGGTGCGGTACAGTAAGTGGGGCCACACCGACTGAGAGTTGCATGCAAATAATAGAAATAAATACGCCAAATAGCTCGGCATGGTCTGGTGCGAGCAAGGTTAATGCTTATTTATAAACGAATATTATGTGCTCGGCAATCGGCAATCTTAGAGTGCTGATCTCGTTCTTGCTCGCATTCTCGTTCTCATTCTCGAATCGCCAAAGTGCCATTTGGTTTTGAATTTTTGGGCTAAATTTGATTATTTCCAGTATTTGCACGTTTCATTTCAACGCCCCTGCCAAATCAAATTTTTAAGTAATCATTAAACGTTTGTTATTGTTTTGATTTTTCACTCGTATGCACTTTACACCAAATAAAATGCGCCGCGAAAAAACAAAATATAAAACACAAACAGACCCACAATGCGTATACTTGATGCGAGACTAAACAAGCGTGAAAAGGTTAGGGGAAAATATGGGAAAAATAAGAAAAAACTAAGGGGGTGGGGGATGCACAAGTGCACCACAGTCAAGTGTCAAATTGATTACGCAAGACGTGACTTTTCTATATACACCATATTAATGAATGCCGTTACTTTGCCTAGTTTATTGCATATTTATATTGTTTCAACCTATTTGAAGAGCTTGCACTGGTCAATTGAATGACAGAGAGTGAGTAATGCGCATTTTGAGTTCTTCTAGTTGGAGGCAAGGCCATTGTCTTGATAACAAGTCCCATTGATACGGCCAAAGTTAACAAAGGTTACCTAGAGTGCTGGGCAAACTGCATTTGCAGCGTAAGTCCTGCATTGTTGAAATATTACACAATATAATGCCGTCGTTATCTTTCAGATTACAAGCAATCGAGTTAAATCGGGAACTTTCCACCGCAGAAGGTCGTAATTATTCCAGCGGAATATAGATAAAGATTTACTAAATCTATAAAAAGCTGTAGCTTTTTATTAGAAAAAAAAAAAATAAAATTAGAATTAATTCTTTGCCACATATCTGTGATCTTTTTCCGCGGAAAAATACCTCACGCCTTCCCCAATAAAATCAGGAAATGTATTCGCCCATCGTAAATAGTGGGATGCCACCTAAGAAGGCGTCATAAATTACAGAAATTTCCAAACATAATTGCCAAAGCGCGACGAGTTCGGGGCGAGAGTGGAAACCACGAAAATGTTGGGCCAAAAAATATTTATAACACGCTGCTGCGGTTCGCTGCCAATTAAAAGAGGCAAATATAAAAAGAATAAAAATAACATTTCGTGCAAACAAAAATAAATTGATAAAAGGAGCAACAGAAAGAAATACTTGGCAGCGGTTCAATGGCCAAAACGACCGACGAGGATGAGTTCTCGATGATGAAGACACGAGCCACCTCCGAGCCACCGAACCAGCGATCCCACGAACCACCGAACCACCGCCGCCAAATGACAACCACCAACCACCGGAGGAAGCCTTTGCAATGCAGCCGTCGAGTGGCAAATTTAAAATTCCACAAATGTCATTTGAGTGTTTCGCTCGTTTCGTTCTTTATTATTATGACGATGATGACTATTCGCAGAGGAAGCTCGGTGGAAGAAAAAAAAGCGAAAATACTCGTGAGGACTGGGGAAAAAGGAAGCAAGTGTCAGGTAGAGCGTGGCAACGTGTTGCATAAATTAACAAATGCCATAAAACTTCATAAAGGAATGTTTGCAGCACGGGGAACAACTCTTCCTTTCAATAGGAAACCGGAAAAATCTAATAATAAGTTAAGTCCACATTTGTGTGGGAGTTTATTAAAGCCGATATGTTTAGCTATTATAGTATTAATTAAATACTGTGCATAAGTATTATAGGACTACTAACTAAATTGTTTATAAATTTATATTCAATAAATGTTTTTATGTTTTTAAATATATAGCTTTCAGTATTATTAAATATACTTCATTCTTCACCTTTAATTCCCACTAAAACTGCATTAATTGCAGTTTTGTTTACATTTTTTCCTAATTCCTAGAAGTGCTCTCTGGGCTCAACGCGATTTTTCTACGACGCGAGAATAAATTTCACTATCACGGTGGTTGTTATTTTCACTCGTAATCACACCCAAAGCAGTGGCAAAAACTCAAAGCGACGACCCGACTACTTCCGTGAAACCAGCAAAAAACCAGACCATCAACAACAATTATAAACAACACCATTAATATAAATAATTCCAATATTAGTTCACAGCCCCTAAGAAAAAATGTACTCAAAACAAAAACAAACTGAAATTCACTGGAAGCGCGCTGTCTGCGCAAAATAAAGTTTCGGGTATCAAGTGGAAGAATCGTCTTCGATTTCTTCGTAGCCAGCACAGCGCATTCTTCAACTGCCTGCCTGCCGTTGGACTTTTATCACAGCGAGGTGCTAAAAAACCAACAAAAATCGACCGACGGCTGCTTTTGCATTGAAGTGTAAGCGAAAATGATAAAGAAAACAATCACGTGAATGACGCACTGCATTAGCCAAGAAATATGAGTGGATCGAATGATTTATCGGACGGATCACGTATACGCAGCAGACGATCGTGAGCGGAAGGAGTTCTAGGAAGTGCAATCAGTGAAATACCATCCCATATGACTTACAAACTTTCTATGAGTATAGCCAAAAAACGCTCAAAATAATTTCACAAGTGTGGCTGTTGTTTGCTAGCCAAAATAAAAAACCCCAATTGAGGTAAATGTCAATGAACTTGAGCGATTATTGATAACTTGCAAAAAAAAAAAACCAAGTATAGTATAAATAAAAAAATACTCGAATACTGGCTATGTAAGCAAATGTTATCAGTACGAAAAAAAATGAAAACAAAAATTAACCGACTCGAAAGCAGAGGGGGAAAATTGAACCATATAAACAGAGATCCCCTGGGATCCGCTACATAATATCAAATGGATTTCCTGGGAACCCAATAAAAATACCTAAACCCATTAAAAATTACGCAAAATAAAAAAAAACAACAGATGAAAAGGGGGAACCGGTATCTGAATATGAATGAAAATGAAAATGAAAATGAAGCATGATTTACGCATGTACCCATGCATGTGATTGTGCACACGTCTATTTATTTACGTATGCTGGGATGTAAACAAAACGAAAAACGATCCGAAGATAAAAGCGCATTAATTGCAAAAACTCTGCAAAAAAAACTGAAAGAAAAAACAAACCAGTGGAATTTCAGCAAAGACTGGGAGAAATGTGATGCCAGCACTATGGACAAACATTTCGCACACACTAACCAAATAAGCTTGAAACAAAAAGCAATGCAAATGGCAAGAAAAAAAGCACTTTGAATGACTGACGATTGCATAATAATAGCGAAAGACGACCGACAACAAAATATGAGAGCCAAACACAAGCTCCACTTTATCTTTACTCTCACTCCATTTCACTGACTTGGCCATGAACTTGACCGTTTGCTCTGCGAAATGTGAATGAAATTTTTACTTGAAAGCCAACAACAAGCGTTGTGGGAAAAAAGTTGAAAGCTCTAAAAAAAATATAAACATAAACCACACAAAAACATTATGGAGTTTGAGGTTTGGAGAAGACGATTAAACTGAGAAGTGCATAGAATTACTGTCCACTAAAGTTTTGCTTTGAAAATGCAATAGAAAAAGTAGCCTTGCAATTATTTTAATTTTTTATCAAGGGTTTTCAAAATACTGTTTTTTTAATATTATATTATGAATGATGCCCCATAAAAGTTAATTGAAAAATTAATGTTTTAAATACACTTTTAACCAAAACTCACCTTCCACCCGGCACTGCTATTCGAATCGCCCTTGTCCTTAAAATATGGCACATTCTGGACCATCCACTCGTAAATCTGGCTCAGAGTCAGTCGTTTGTCGGTGGCCGATCCAATGGCATGCGTGATGAGATCCGCATAGGATAGATTTCCCCATGCATTGCGACGCGATGAGTTTTTCTTGGCTGCATTCGCATTTTGTATAGCCTGCTGTGAGTCTGCAATTTTGGGATATTAAAAAAGAGGTAAAACGTGATTTTAATTGGGGGAGGAAAAGAAAAAGTGCACAGAGAAAAAATGATTGAGATTTAACTTAAATAAAAAGAATTTATATATTCTATTTTTATTGATCATAAGTAGTTACATTTTAAAAAACTAAAAAAATTTACTCAAAAGACTTGGGAGAGATTCTTAGTAAAAATACAACAGCACTAACAAGATAGCACAAACTCAGGTTTCTACTTCTAGTTCAAACTCCTATATCTTGATTATCCCCCCACTTTGAATGGGATTTCTATGACACATTTATATAAATCATATACTCGTTGGGTGAGAGAACCTACCTCCTGGGGCCAACTGCTGATTGCTGGCCTTTGTACTGTCCAACTCGTCGGCGGGCTCCACGAAGTTCTCGGGGCGCGGACAGGGCCATGTGTTGGATCTGGCTCGGGTCTGGGGTTCGAAGCCGACGTCCAGGGGCAGGTCGCCCCCCAGCTGGTCCATGGCCAGGCCGTTGTCTGTGTGGGTCAACGTGGGCCAGTCCTGCGCGAAGCCGTCCATCATGGGGTAGAATAGGTCGTTGTGCAGTTGCAGCTTTGCGGCTCTCAAGCTCTCCTCGCCAGCCCAAAAAGTATCGAGGCCAATTGGTAAGCTTCGCGATCAGTTGTGTTACCTAAAAAACAAAATAAAATTAGTTTTTTTTTAAACATTTTTTTTTCTTTTTAAAGATATTACAAGCTAAAGAAATATTTTTTATTTCATTTAAAACAGATATAAATCAAATATAAGTAATTTGTTCCAAAGATTAACCTTGAATTTTAATGACTACAGTATTTTACTGCAATTTTGTCAACTCATCTCGTCTCTCAAAATTTAAAATTACATTTTGATTGTTTTCGTGCCTTGAAATGTGGAAAACGATTTCCCAATGATCTTGGATCGTTCAACTCATTGACAATTCGATTTTGCAGTTGACGATTAAATTAATCACGTGTTCAGAGAGAGCTGAAAATCTAAAGATTTTACTATCACTTTCCTTCAAAAAAGAAATAAATTATTGTTGGTGTTCAATCAAGCTAGAGATTTCCGTTAGATCGTTAGAAGAATTATTCAGTTATTCTGAGTTGTTCTAATAATTCGATTGGGCTTGATTTATTGTACACGTTTTTATAGTTTTCGAGTGCTTAAGTTCTTGGCAAAAATATAACTAACACTACAATCGAATCGAGCGATAGCATTATAAATTTATATAATTTCTGGAATTTTTCGTTGTTTATTTTTTCTATGGAAATCTAAACTTGAAAAAATTTTGCCTTAGTAAGTGTTGTAGAAAAAGCTCTTAAATGGAAGTAAGAGAGCGTTATCAGCAGAGTCAAGGAAAAGAGAGGAAACCAAGACAGAGGCAATGGCGATACGATAATGTATGTAGGTTATGATCTTGTTCAAATGCCTCGTACACATTTTCCTTGCATTCCAATGCTCCAGATCTTTGTTATTATTGCTTAGGAATGAAAATCAATTTGTTTTAATAAAATCTATAAATGCCTTTATGACTAAATTTAGCACACGATCGAATGAGCAGCGAAATGATTTTCAATTAGCGCGGCGGCAACGAAAGTTATCAATTAGTTATGGTTTTTTGGTAATCAAAACGCATGTCTTTATTATGAAAACTCTGACAAATGCGGGGTAAATCTCTCTGATTCTCCAGTTTATTTTATATGTGAATTAATCTGCTTGAATATAAAGGTCTATTGACTCTGTCTGGGGAGAGGGAACTGATAAGTCATTGAAGCTCGACGAGCATCGCACCAAGTTTGATGGCAATTGTCTGGGCAATTTTAACCGAAAAATAGGTAAGACATTAAATAAATCTTATAAATGAAGAAAAGAGACCGGAACTAATTTAACTATGAATATCGCTATAGCTACTATAACAATAAATTGCATTCGCAATGTTAAAGGTCACTTGTTCACTTCAGTGACATATTTTAAATTATTACCTGATGATAACAAATGTCTGATGCAATTTTAAACTTAAAAAAAACAGACAAATTATATAAACCTAATCATATTTAGGCAAAGCTCTTTAACCTTATGAGTTGTCGACAAAGCACTTCAAAAGGAAATTTTTGATTGATTTGAATTGGTTACAGATTATAAACCATTATTATAATAATAATTTGTTTATTTTCATAATTTTTAAAATATATAGTAGCTCTTTTAACTTGTTTTTCAAAAACTAGAAATAAATAGTTTACAATTTCGAAATGTTTGAAATAAGAGCGCAAAAGCTCACTTTCCTCTCTTCGGCTTGAAATTGTAAACAAATTGAAAAGTGTGCGTAGCGCGTAACTGAATTAAAATTCAACTCACCCATACGCAGAAACCACAGCGAGTATCTGTGTGTGGATCGTTCGAGGCAGTTTTATTCAGCTTTTTATACAACTTTTATTTTTTCTGTTCGGCCAAAGAGAAAGATTGGGAGAGTGAAATAAAAAAAAGGGGGAAAGGAAGAGAATTCAACATCGACGGCGAGGAATTACCTTGAGAACACGGAAGTTCATTCATTCGCTACCTAAACACATTTGCCTACCTGAGAGCATTCCGAACATCACCTCATTATTTCGTTCTCGGAAATTTTCAAAAACGGCTCATATGTTTTTTCTGACGTTCTGCTGCTTTTATGTATTTAAATAACGAAATTATTTAGATAAGGTCGCGCGTCGCCGTTTGTCATTGCATAATATCTTCCTAGCGAAAGGTTTATGGCCGCAAATAATGGGAATGCGAATGCGAATGAGTCGCACTCAAGTGCCCCCAGCAGAAATGGAAAAAAAACCAAAGGCGGCAAAACAACTAAACGAAACATTCCAACCTGACCTAAGCCACTAGCAACAACAAAAATCAAAGCAAATATAATGGGGTTGTCAAAAAAGAAACCCAGAAATACACTCGCACAGTTCAGAGAAACTAGTAGTAACTTTAAATCCAGAAATGATCGACTCAGATTTTCTCTATATATATGTGGAATTTTGGGGAGAGGCAATCCAAGCGGCCCCAAAGTTCATTGATTCGGATTTTGGGGTCATATCATATCATCGCTTTCTCTTCGCCTCTCCTCCTTTTCTTAATTTAAGCTTCTTTTATTTATACCTGGCACCTTTACTCGAATAATACACGAAAACATTTATTCTATAGTTTATATAGTAATAGAAGGCAGATCATAAATTATTCCGTTGACTATATTTTTAGAATTAATTGTCTTAATTTATTATTATATCTAAGCCCCCCTGAATTGCATTAAATTATTTAAAATTATTTTTGAGTTTTTATTCAGATAAACAAAGTATAGATCCTCCCTCAACTACTGAGTATCAGCTTAGTCTAGAGTGCGTTGCTTTTCAAAAATAGTGTAAAATTCTAATTGCCGCCTCTCATTGCCGGCTGCCAACTATTTTGAGTAAATGAGCATTTGTTATTTGCATTTTGCATTTTGCACTTAAATATAATCTATTTCTTACTTTCAAACAAGAGAAATTGCGTCGCAAAGTCGGCAGTAAAATATTTAATAATATGCAATAACATTTTATAGTATTTCAAGCACGTCATTATATGAAAATAACCAGGGGAAAAAACAAAACAAAAATACAAGAAAAATAGAAAAAGCATAGAAAATGTAAACAATAACAAGACAAAAGTGGGAATGGGGCCTAACTCAATCTATAGCCTGATGCGATTTCCTTTTGATCTGCTGCGTCACAGCTCACTATATATAAGTCGTTTGAGTGGTCGGATTAAAAGACAGGTTCTCCACAAACATATTCTTTATTACATCAGATTAGACGTAAAATTTGTTTGTTTTTATATAGCCAGTGACGCATATTTGCGTAGGTGTTTTTCTTTGATCGGTCGATATTAAACGGGAGATCAATGGAACACGACTGAAACTTGTTAGATTATGCTAATAAGATACCACCGATAGCATCAGATAATATTCTAATGAAAATACAAACATCGCAAAAGGCTTATTATCACAGCAAAATTTATAGGGTGATTCAGAATCGTGTTTGTTTGGCTCTTTTCTCAAAACTGGGCAGATAGCATAAATCAGCCTCAAAGAACCCGGCGTGGGATGTGGAAATTAGCTACGAAAATCATCTGTATATTTTCAAATATTACACAATGGTTTCAGGAAATTGGGGGAGCGTACCCGAAAAATTCCCACAGCATTCCACGTATTTCAATGTCACGAACAAGCAAAGAGGCAAAATTTCCGCGCTAGGGTGAAATCTTCAGGTGGTCCACTTTTTTTCGGGGGGTGTGACGATGGGACGCGCAACAAGTTGAGAAATTCTAAAACTAAATATACGCCGATAAATGTGGGGGTCCTCAGACAGATATATATTTTTTCGGTCTAAAATAATAGAGGCAAAAGTCAAGCGAAAGCGAGTGCAAAAAACAAAAAACCAAAAGCAAAAACAGATCTTTAAAAATAATAATAAAAAGCAAAACAAAGGCAAAGCAAACTAAATAAAGACGGCAATAAAAAGATATAATAAAAAATTAAGGCAGAATCAGTACGAAGAAAGAAAGGAATGAAAAGGAAAATAAAAATGAAAACGAAATAAAGAAAGATCAACAGAGCGAACAAAACAAAAATAAACCGACACACTTGTTACGTAATGCCTTTCAATAGTTCGCTCTCCTACATTTCTCATGTGTTCCGTTTGATTCTATATGCGTATCTGTATTATTTCCCACTTCTAGAGGGTGTACAGAAAAAAGTTCGGCTATCAGCTAGTGCCGCCCTAAAATAATCCTAGCTGAGGCTAACATTGAGCAGCTGTTCCGGATAGACTTGGCCTCGCAGATCAAATGATAAGCCCAGAAGTTGCCGCTGCTGGGGCGTAGAATTATTGTATTTCAAAGGGTAACGTATATTTTTCAATTTTAATATTTTAACAACAAGAAGTAACAACTTATTTGGAATGGAAATTTTTTTTTAAATATTCAAGGAACTAAAAAATTAAAGTGATAGAACCAATATAAATTCCTTGGGTATAATGATAGTATGCAACTTTTTATATTTATAGAATTTTATTCTATTTTATTTTTACATCCTTCTTTGTAAAGATTTTTTTTAATGCCTTAACTATTATTAAATGTTAACTGTGCCAATTTTTTGCCTAGTCATTTTAGACTTAGCACCCTTAGCGCCCATGTCCCTGGGAACTCTGGGCTTATCAGTTGGAGCAAAGCTCTAAAGATCACAGAGCCGGCCACAAAAGTGTCCGCCAGATGCTCTCTGTCCGCCGAAACCCTCGACTCCAGCGAAACCATGTGATTTTTTATGCATGCGACTGGACTGGAGGAGCGTAGTGCCCCTGAATCTCAGGTAAAGGCTGGCACTCCTCGCCTCCCCGGACCTCCTGCCTGTACCTGCCCCTCACACATGACCGGGTTCAGCAATGTGGAAGTAAAAGAGATCTACTCCCCAGCACAACCCGTCAAACAGGATTATAAAGCAAAGTAAGTCAATGCGAGAAAAAGCCCGATGCTCTGCCCAAAAAAAAAAGGAAAAGAAAAAGAAAAAAAACCGAAAACAGAGAAAATAAAAAGCAAGACTGACAGCTGGTCGGAGATATTCGTACAGAGAGCAACTGGTATGGTCTGCACCGATCTGGTCCGGTCTGCCCTGCCTAATGAGCTGACGTCGAGCTGAAGACGACGACGACGACATCAATCCCAAAGCCCAAAGCCCAGGTTCGGTTCCAGGCCCATGATCTCAAGTACCTCGCGACCCCATAATGATCATAATGCCGATGATGATGATGATGACGATGACGAGGCCACATCGAACCCACTTGTCGGCCATTCCGGTGTGCCGGAGTCTCTGAGTGTGTGCTTTGTCACCCTCCATAAAACCGAACGACCTTTGCTTCGAAAGTGAATTATACTCCAGCAATATCAACTTCGTCATGGACTAACCTGCTGATAAAGCACTTCAACGTGAGAGCGGCGTGTTCGGCTTGTTGAGGAGACCTCTTGATTTTGTTCTTCTGGTTAAAAGCTGTGCTTAATATGGCACCCCTCTTATAGCGTCAGATTAAATTGTAAGCTAACCGTATTTAACCAAACCCTTTAAAATTACAGCGATTTAGAAATCGAAGCTTAAGCTGTGTTGAGTCTGGTAAGTAGCGGTTAATCTTCCGGTTAGAGGTTCTTATAATATTTAATTTAACAATTTATGCATATAGGGTGAGAATTTCTCAACTGCGCATATGAAATTTTAGATTTTCTTCAAACTCGGGTACCTCGTAGACTTTGGCTTGGATATCATCTGTGATTTTTTTTTAAATTTTTTGGTGTCCATTTAGGGGAGCTATGAATTTTTGAAGTTAAGAATTTTAAAAATATTCTCAAACTTCAAATATATCTCGAGAACGGCTTAGAACAAAAAAATGCATCTTTACACGTTTTTAAATGTGTACACCCAGAAAAAAAAGACCGAAAAAATCTAAGACCGAATTTCTTACATTACTACCGTGTTGTTCCTTTATTTTTTAAGACCACATTCTTATATTAATACCAAAGGGTATTGATTTAAGACCAGTAAATTTAGATTTAAGTTGAACTTATGCACGCGCGCGTAACACGGTGCGATGGCCCAGTTGGTAAGGCGTCTGACTCTGATGCGAGAAGACCCCGGTTCAAAACCCAAATAAGTCAAAGTAAGTAAAAAGTTTTTCAAATGTATTTCAATTAACATTTCCTTTATAACTTTAAGAACAAAAATGTATTAAAAAGTTAAGTTGTTAATTTACTAATTACAAAAAAAAATGTTGTGATAATAATACCAGAATCCAGCACCTTGGCCCCTGGGCCATGGCCTTATTATTTCCTTCCATGGCAGAATGCTTACAGGAGCATTCAAACAAAATTATTTTTTTACTAAAAATAAATATAAATTTAAGTACGTTTCGTTCTTAAAGTAAGAACAGCGGTCTTAAAAATCCGTTCTTAAAATAATACCATAAATTCTTATAATGATACCAAACGGTATAAAGCTATTTTTGAGACTCAAAAAGACACGTTTTCAGACACAATCAGAAAAATTTTTTCCCTGAGTGTACTGGGGGAGTTAGAAAATAATTTTATAATAATTTTATATAACAAAAAAGGTCGTATATAAAGCCAATCTTTGAATTCTTAAGGTAATTTGTTTTTCATGTCATGACTAAGACTGCGATTGGTAAATAAGTTAAATAAGTTTGAACGGAACCAGCCTAACAGACCGGTGTATTTTTCTCTATGAAAAATTCTGATAGCATTGGAAATATGAAGTAATCAAAATAAAGGCTTTTAAAGCTGTAAAAATAATTATATTGAAAATTAAAAAAAATTCATCTAATATTTTAAATGATTGCTTTAAACAATTTCAACCTTAACAATCAACTAGTGAACTCTCCTTAATACTCATAATTCCCTTTGGACACTTTGGGCTGTCGCTTTTCCCCGAGTGCGTTCCTATCACACAAATGAAAAGATAAAGGAGCGATAAAGAGCTGAAGCGAAAGCAATGCACATCACATTTATGCATTCCCCACCAGAACAACTGTTGCCATGTGGGCTCTTCCCCTCCGATTCACTGGCCACTGTCTCTATCCATTGTACATATCTCTTTCTCGTTGTTGGCGGGAAGCTTATCGCAACGCTCTCCAAGTCCCCAGACCTACAAATAAAAACCCCATCCCCACCGTAACCCCTTGACAATGCCAAGCATAAACCTTGGACAACAAATCTTTTTTGCGACACTTACAATCTGCTCTCTGTTTCACATTATTCCTATTTATCTTTACTATTTGGCGATTTAATCTATGATAACCAGTAATATAGGAAAATGAAACTATAATCCCAAAACTATTATATAATTCTTTTAAATTTTAAACGGAATGCACTGCCCAGTTCCCTACTACTTTGCATGATTTTCCTATTGCTTTTGCATTAGGAAAATGCACAAGGAGCCCGTCAGTCATAGCATTCTGGTTTTTCTACGCTGTTAATATTTAATAATTTATTAAGTCAATTATCGCGGAAGCTTATTCAAATAAAAGCTTATTGAAAGTGCAGTTATCTGGCGGCACGTGGATCTGCGAGAGAATCACGCGCTACTAGAGCAACACAGAGAAATAGAGAAATATATGTGTACATTGTATTTCTCTATATAGAGAAGGAGAGGCCCGACCAGGCAATGTGCAATAGTTCAGAATGCAGGCGAATTCGAATGCAAATGAACGCTAAAAGCCCCGTGCAATGTTTATAGAATTCATTTCAATAATTAAAGAGCAAACGATTCGATTCGATTCCATTGCATTCGATTTGATACGATTGAGAAGTCACCCAAGAACGTAGAGCCCCCCAAACGGCGATCTTCGATTGACAGCTGAGACAACTGACGCATGAAAAACTTCGATGCGATCATCTGACTTCATCATCCGCAAAGCAAGCGCAATCTATTTGCATTTCTAACGATTTGGGGTCAACAGGAAAATAAAAGTAGTTGTTTATTAGGAAGGGAACCGAAATAACAATCCATGCAATTATAAGATGTTATCTTTAACAGAACCAATTAATAAAAACTAAAAATTAAAAAAAAAATTAGACTAAAATAAAGATTAAAAATATTTCTTCAAAATCTTAGCAATACTTAAAACCTATTCCTTATAAATGAGTAAGTACGCATTCTTCAACTATTCACTGTTCATTATTACAAAGACCACGTTAATTTCCTGTACTACAGCCTCTCCTCTATAAGAGAACTCCCCTTATTAATTATTTCCCGGTTTCTCCGCTTCAATTACAGTCTTTTCGACAAACTTTTGCACACTTTATTGTTATCACCTGGCACGTTCCACCAATGTGGCCAGCAAACACTCAAGATATGATAAAAGCCACAATCTCACACGAATATAGTTACATATAGGCATATGAATACATATATACTTTTTGGGCCATCAGCTGCTGTACCTTGGCACATTGCGGTTAGATAAAAGCCTTATCTGAAAGCCGGGAAAAAATTATTTTTTGGACAGACTAACCGAGTGCCGAATCAACCCATTTATGAAAATTAAACCTAATCACATTTCAATGTCAATACTGATGTCAAAAAATAAAGTTGAAAATTATTTTAGAATATAGATATAGTCAAGTGTGCGGAGGTGCGTATATACATAAATCGCGGGCAGTATAGCAACAAAATCGGCCTTCATTAGTCCAATACGAAAATCGGGGGAGCAAACACAGAAAGAAATGAGCAGCGGACTCTACTATACAAACGACACACGCTTCAACTTCTGCTATCAGTGTGGCGCTGGGGTTCTATTTTTAGAGCCATTATCAGCGGTGCTCTAATTAAGATCTCCCCCAGCCCACTCTCGAGCAAAGTAACACACCAAAACGGACTAATCAAAGCCCACACGAACCGAAAGATCATCTATTGGAAGCACTGGAGCGCGGAACGTGACCGAGCTTTATGGTTCTGGCGTTTTGATCTTGAAAGTGAAACGATTGTAAATAACTGGGACACAAAGGATTCGGTTTTCTAATCAGCTTTAAATAAAATTCGAATTTCGATTAGATTGGATATCGCTCCAATATTTTAATGATTTGACTTTAAAAGGTGTTAAATAAAAATTTTCTTTTTGAAAATGAACAATCAACGTAAATATTGACTTTTTTAAAAACTTGATTATAAGATTTACCATGTGCATAAAGTTAGCAATGCAACTTTTGAAAAGGCAAATTTTTTTCTATCGACAATTTGCCGTTATTTATCCGTAAATTATTCGTGAAAGAAAAAAATTTGCCGCTCAATTATTTTTAAAATTATGAGATGTTCTGCTAAGTTGATATCAACTTAGCAGAACACCCCACTAAAGTGCAAAATTTCCAAAATCTTTTTTAATGGGAATTTGCCGTTATTTATCCGTAAATGATTCGCGAAAGAAAAAATTTTGTTGCTCTTGTTTTAACATTTTTTTTTTTAAAAAACATAGTTGTTCTGCTAAGTTGATATCAACTTAGCAGAACACCCCCACTAAAGTGCAAAATTTCCAAAATCTTTTTTAATGGGAATTTGCCGTTATTTATCCGTAAATGATTCGCGAAAGAAAAAATTTTGTTGCTCTTGTTTTAACATTTTTTTTTAAAAAACATAGTTGTTCTGCTAAGTTGATATCAACTTAGCAGAACACCCCACTAAAGTGCAAAATTTCCAAAATCTTTTTTAATGGGAATTTGCCGTTATTTATCCGTAAATGATTCGCGAAAGAAAAAATTTTGTGGCTCTTGTTTTAACATTTTTTTTTTAAAAAACATAGTTGTTCTGCTAAGTTGATATCAACTTAGCAGAACACCCCCACTAAAGTGCAAAATTTCCAAAATCTTTTTTAATGGGAATTTGCCGTTATTTATCCGTAAATGATTCGCGAAAGAAAAAATTTAGTTGCTCTTGCTTTAACCTTTTTTTTTTAATAATAGTTGTTCTGCTAACATATGTATGTACAACGCGGACGGTAGCAGAGCTCTGCTGACGTCGACGTCAAATGTGTAAAATTCCCGCGAATTCTGCTTCTGTGAGAAGCAACATCCATTTTTCATGCTTTAACATTTTTAACTTTTCATTATGTGTAATTCTGTAAATAATATTGACTCAGACTCACTGCAGAAATTAATAAACCTCCAGAACGCAGAATTCGCGGGAATTTTACACATTTGACGTCGACGTCAGCAGAGCTCTGCTACCGTCCGCGTTGTACATACATATGTTAGCAGAACAACTATTATTAAAAAAAAAGGTTAAAGCAAGAGCAACTAAATTTTTTCTTTCGCGAATCATTTACGGATAAATAACGGCAAATTCCCATTAAAAAAGATTTTGGAAATTTTGCACTTTAGTGGGGTGTTCTGCTAAGTTGATATCAACTTAGCAGAACAACTATGTTTTTTAAAAAAAATGTTAAAACAAGAGCCACAAAATTTTTTCTTTCGCGAATCATTTACGGATAAATAACGGCAAATTCCCATTAAAAAGATTTTGGAAATTTTGCACTTTAGTGGGGTGTTCTGCTAAGTTGATATCAACTTAGCAGAACAACTATGTTTTTTAAAAAAAAATGTTAAAACAAGAGCAACAAAATTTTTTCTTTCGCGAATCATTTACGGATAAATAACGGCAAATTCCCATTAAAAAAGATTTTGGAAATTTTGCACTTTAGTGGGGGTGTTCTGCTAAGTTGATATCAACTTAGCAGAACAACTATGTTTTTTAAAAAAAAATGTTAAAACAAGAGCAACAAAATTTTTTCTTTCGCGAATCATTTACGGATAAATAACGGCAAATTCCCATTAAAAAAGATTTTGGAAATTTTGCACTTTAGTGGGGTGTTCTGCTAAGTTGATATCAACTTAGCAGAACATATCATAATTTTAAAAATAATTGAGCGGCAAATTTTTTTCTTTCACGAATAATTTACGGATAAATAACGGCAAATTGTCGATAGAAAAAAATTTGCCTTTTCAAAAGTTGCATTGCTAACTTTATGCACATAGATTTACCATACAGTAAAGGACATACAAGTCTTTTCAAAGCTATCTTTATAGTTTTTTTTTTTGCGCTTTTTTAAACATAATCATAGACTCCTAACTAATTAATGCGCACTTAATTTTTTAACACCATAGTTAAGAAACTATTAAGACTTTTACAAATAGTGTTTGCTACCTCGGAATTTTTTATTGTATTTTATTATATTTTAATGGCCCTATAGTATTGAAATTTGTTGTTTTATTTTTACAAAAACCATTTTAATGTTCAACCTAACAAGGGACCATAAAAAAACAGCATAAAATTGGTTAAAAATCTGTCAAAAATCTAGAGAATTTAAGCCAAGACTCTCTAGATCCAGTTAAAAAGCAGGAAAAGCCGAACGACATTTTTTAATTTTTTGAGTAAATCTATTTGAGATTGTTATTAATATTTACCCGCCAAAAGTTTGCAATGGGAAATCGCTAGCTAAATCGCTGCTCCTTGTTGACTGCGATTTTAAAATGTGTTGATTTTGCAGGTGGATTTTGTTGATCGCCGACTCTTGTTGTTATTATTGCTGTTAACTGGCACTGTTTTTGCTTTATTTTCCTTGTTATTTTGCACTTTTTATGAGCTTGTTTGGTTTTGGTTTATGGGTAGTATATGTTGTTGTTGTTTTGAGCAAAACTTGTGCGGGTTTCTTGATTTTTAGTGAATATTTAAATATATTTTTTAGATTTTTGTGCTGGCATAATTTTTTGCTCACACACACACACTGATCAACTGGGAGGGATTACAAAATCTGCTGTTATTGTTGGGCGGCGGTTTTTGCTTAAGCTAAAGATGATTGTAGAAAATGGTAAATTAGAATATATATAACAACAATAAAAATAAACAAATAAAAAGAGCGCGAAGAGAGCGGCGCGATTAAAGAGAGAGTGCTATCTATGTGTGTGTGTGTGTGTGCCAAAGAGAGAGCGAAACCGCGCGATCACGTCACGTCATCAATTCATGCCAATTGGACGCACACACAACACTTAATTGGAATTCGTATGAGAATTCAATGAAAACCGAGCGGCGCAGTCGAAAAGTTGTTTAAAGTTCAAATGGGTAAAAAATTTTAATATAAACACGTTTCGGAGCTTACTCCAATTCGCTTTTTTTTCGGCCAGTAGTGTGCGTAGCGTATTTTAAATGGTATATATGTACGTATCGTACATATGTATTTGTATGTACAACGTGACTGCGACGAAGATCATCCAAGCATCGCTATATAATACGTTTTGGAGCTTTTCTCTTATTTTATGTATTGAATATAAAAACGAACGAACGCGTTCTTTCTACGCTTTAGTTTTGAGTTCCGCACATTCACATGTTTTGGTATTGAAACGATTTTTTCCACTTTCTTGGTAGCTTTGCGATTTGGAATTAACGTTTTTGGGTTCTAAAAGATCACTGCTTTTTTTTTGGTTTCTCTTCACTGCTTGGGGGCTGAAAAGGAAAACGATGAACGACCTCGTGGCTTTTAACCGCAAGCGAAAAAACACAGACTACTCGTTAACTGCTTTCTAGTTGGATGCGAACTGACAACTGAAACTGATTCGTCGTTTCGTGTTCGGCGCAAAAAGGCGGTCTGTCCATGTGTGTGTGTGTGTGCGCTGAGAGGGGGTGTCCGCGTGTGTGTATGCGAGTGCTGAGTGCCAAAGCAGCCCCAAAAAGAGAGAGCTTGCTCTTGGATTCCACTTGGGATCCACTCCGCTCGGGTAAAAAAGACCGCCTCAACTTTGGCGCTCACTAAACGTATTTTTTTATGTTTGTGGCGCGCTCCACTCACACACTCTCACACAGTTGGGGACAAAAAAGTAGTGGGGTATGCTAATCAAAATCTTATATTTTAGATCTTTATGAAAAACTAGATGGAGTTTTTTATAATTTTTAAAAGATTGTTTTAAATGAAAGATATTTTTGTATCTGAAAGATATTTTTGTATCTGGTTCAATTTTAACCGGCGAATAAACATTTTTTAGCTTGATATATTTTTTAGAATTAATAAAAAATTTTAATTAATGGAATTATGAAAGCGAATCAATATAAGGTTATCTTACTTATACGATTAAAAGATTTTTTTTTAAATATTTAAATTTAGAAATACGAAGTTTAATAACAAAGTGTAAAATTCCAGTGTGGTGCGCTTACTTAAAACAAAATTATTATGATATATACAAAACTTAGGCAAACTGCAGTGAAACATCAAATGCATCATAATTCCCTTGAAATTATTCATTGTATACAAATTTAGAGAGTGATTCATAAAGTAACTAAAAATTTCCAGTTTATTTCACAAAACTCTAAACATTTTCTTGCACAATTTCTACTGTCTTGGCCGCTTGTGTTCTCGCTCAATATCAATAAATAAAGCCATAGTTTACCTATTTTATACATTTGGAATTTAAATTGTTTCTTTTCATTTCGGTCGTGCTGCTCTGAACTCGAAATTCTGAGAGATGGGGAGAAAAGGGGGCGGCGAGCGGGCAGGCTGAATGGTGGTTGGGCGTTTTGGGTGGGGTAGGGTGGTCGGGCGGCATTGCTGATAAGGCAGCTGTTATCTCGCGATTGCCCGCTCTCTTTCTCTCGCTCTCTCCCTCTGTTCAAGTTACTCCCTCTCTCTCTCTTACGTTCATTGTCTCGTGATGCGATGGAAAATTTCCCGAAATTGCATTCTACTGATAATGCCAGCAATGCACATTTGTGCATATGGAATATGGATTCAAAAATGCTCCTCATCTCTGGTGGTATGCGAGCTTTTTGGGAGCATGTATTTTATTACCAAAGTCCCCGCGCCCCCAACCTCAAAAAATAAACCCCTCCCGGTACCAGTTTTTTTTCTCTGTTTTCGCCTAGACCCGATATCTGTATATATACTTACGTTCACGTCCATGCGAGTGTGTATCGGTGTTTTTTTAATGTGCCTGCCACATAAATTCCGCAACATTACACGGCTAATGAAGTCTAGACGCTAAGGCCGGGGACCAACAGTTTATGGATCGTCCAAACTTAAAGCCCGATCGGATCGTTTCGAAGGCGGGGATTAGAAACGAAGTCCCATCAGGGGAAATTATGGGAATTAAAACGGCAATTCTGCTAGTCTAGGATCTTGAACAATTAAGAATCATCGAAATATTTTTGTTCTTTTTCGTTTAAATATTCGTAATTTACAAGAAGGTTAAATATAAAAGTTAACTTAAACTAAAATTCTGGTTAAATATAAATTTAAAAGTTAAGGGGAATATCTTAATATCTTGGACTAGTTTTATTCGTTTCCTTTTTATAAAATACACCTTGAATAAAGTCTAAATGTCTCCAAAGTCCCGAGAAATGACAATAAGAATTGTGTTTGTGTACATAAGGATTTTTGAATGCGAGAACAACAAGAAGATAAGCCAGCCCGGCAATAGTTGTATTTTACTATGTTATGAAGATGGCTTAAGTTTGATAAGTAACACGTTGGTATAGGTAAGTTCCATCTGGAACTGGGTTATAAATCACTTCCATTAAAAGGAGCGTGTAAATTTGTGTTAGCTGCAGTATCAAACCAATTGTAATGCTCAAGACTAATTTATTCGTTTAAGTGATCAGATAAAAGCCTATTAGAACCACTCGATCAGTGTCTCAATAGACCGCCCACTCCCCAGAAATTCAATCAACATTACACAAACGTTTCAACTAACGCCAGCCAAAACTTGACCATAATTGCTAGTGCCAAAAGAAAAAAAGAAAATTGGAAGCAAAAAACTGGGTATATAGAAGCGTTTCATTTGCGTTGGCGCGTGGCGAATGGTAAACTGTCGTCGCCGTCTCGGTCTCCGTCTCGTAATCACATCCAAATTTGACAAACTGGACACGCAAGGCACTAACTCAGGTTTCAAACTGCGCGCCAAATATTGACAGGAGATTTTGGGCGCCAGGGTGACAGAAATGGAGGAGATTCCTCCAGTGACGCCATGATATTTCAAATCTCAAAATGCCAAAAAGCTATGGCAACTTTTAAAAATAAGACAAAAGAGAACGCAATAGTCTGGTTGGTGTCCCGACTATCTAATACCCGTCACTCAGCTAAAGGGAGTGCGAACTCGGGTTGGTGTCCCGACTTATAATCGTAACTCAGCTAAAGGGAGTGCGAGGGAGATAGATATATAAATTTTGATTGCGTATAACTTTTTAATGAATGGTCCGATTTGAAAAATGTCTTCTACATTTCGATAGGTATAAATATACACAACAAAATTGCATTTATACTTCTCGGAAATCTTTAAAGATGTGGGCGCAGGTCCCATTTTAAAATCGTTAGTGGGCGATTGTGGGCGTTAGAGGGGGCGTGGCGCTCGGCTAAAATAAACTTGCGCTGCGTAGGAAGTCAAAGAATATGTGTGGGAAATCTCAACCTTTTAGCTTTTGTAGTTTCTGAGATCTCAGCGTTCATACAGACGGACAGACGGACAGACAGACAGACGGGCAGACGGACAGACGGACAGACGGACATGGCTAGATTGACTCGGCTAGTGACCCTGATCAAGAATATATATACTTTATGGGGTCGGAAACGCTTCCTTCTAGCTGTTACATACTTTTGCACGAATCTAATATACCCTTTTACTTAGACTTTTAAATGCCTTAGAATATGTAAAGTTAAAGAAATAAAATAATTATTTTTTTAAAACACATTTTTTCAAGAATTAGGGAGGAAGTTTTCAATATTACATATTCCATCAGTTGTACAGCTGAACTTTATAACAAACAAATTTAGTTTTTCAAGTGTTTTAATAATAGAATTTATATGTGTTACCTAAAAAAATTTACATTTATCTGAAAAGCACTTATTAAAAAGTGTGAAAAATTCATAAATACCACCCTCGTCTAAGGCATAAGAAGCTAAACCGATCCGAAGTAAAATCAAGCGATCCAAATCGAGTCAATACGATCCGAGTGGCTCTACTCACGCTTGGCCTTCAAAAAATTATAATTTCTGTTTTAATGCCTCGACTGTGTTGGCATGCGGTTGATAGATCGAAGGGGTTTTTGGCGAGGGGGTCTCAAACTTGGGCTCCATTTGACTCGCCCGATGTTTGTTTACCAGCCAGACTTAGGAAATTTGTGTGTGTTTCATATCGAAATTTGAATATCGTTACTAACAATTTGTTAACTTAAGAATTTATAGAGAGCACTGCAAGTGTGAGATGGTGCGAGGGAGTACGAAACACGATTGTTTTCCTAACTTGTTTGCAACGATAAGAGAAATTGAGAATCCTAATTGATTTGGAAATGGTTTATGCGATAGGGAAAACTAGAAAAAATTGAATTAAATTTAATATTCATTCAGAATTTGGAATTTGATTGAATTAGAAGCTCGAAACAATCGATGAATCAGATTAGCGAAAAAATTAATGACAATGATGTTGAAAAGTCCGGAGAATAACTAATACTTAAAATCATTGCTAGAACTGTGCCACCTCACATTCTTAGATATTTCGCCTACCCCTTTCTTTATCACCATATCGTATCACCTACTATTAAAGCATTTCGAAATGGTGACTTAATACTGGAAACTTCCCAATAATCGCTTGATCAACTGTGGCCGAAACGGTATTTGTGTGCTGTGCTAGTGCCTTCGGGTGGAACAAGATTTTGTGACGTTGGTGTCGCTGTCGAAGTCGCATGTTGATGTTGATGGGCGCTATCAAGACTTTAAAAGACTCTCCACCAACACACTGGCAGCGGAATTATGCTTATATGAGCATGTGTTTGTCAAAAGCGAGCCCCCTAATGTGGCCACATGGAATTCTCCAGCAGAGGCGTAGCCAGGATGCGGATTTGGGGGGTCCTATAGAATAATTAAGTGATTAAATCCTCATTATCTATTTTTAAAGTATTAATATTTCTCTACAATGATTTTTGAATCCAAATCACCAAATCTTTGAATAAGAGTATATTTGAATAGAATATATAACTTAATAATTATTTTAAATAAATTTTTTTTTTTTTAATTTCAAAGGTACAAAAAAATTATTTTGTAGTACCAAGTTTTTGGAAAAGGAAGACGAATCCCCTTTGTCGGCGCCCCTGTTTTGAACAGACACTTTGGCCAGCGAAGTGAAGGCTCTCTGGATGTCGTAGTACTGGACCCATTTCCAATAACTGTACCGGTTCGGGTTCCCTCCCCCGGTAGCGTGTGGCATTTAAAATGCAAAAATATCGCTTAAGCGTTATCTCTAATTTATTGAGATTAAGGCAAACTGATTAATTTAACGACGTAATTGATGCAGCCGCAAAAGCGCACGACATTCGAGGAGGGGAAGGGGGAACTGACGCAACACAGATACACACCCATACAGCGATACCTGCCCACAGCCCTCTATTCAGATCTTTTCAGCGATCTGTTTGGAGAATTCCTGATAGAAGTGCGACTTAGATTGACGGAAACTGAATCAATTGCACGGGAAAAAAATAGTTCGATATCTAAACAATATTTTCATTTATTTATTTTGATTAAAAATAAAATATTTATATTTTAGATATTTGTAAATA